GGGATGGGTTCTCCAGTTGAGGACCTATACCTCTCTTACGAATCTCTCGTAAAGCATCAATAAAGGGATCGATAATACATGTCATGACGGGCTTCTTGCATTTCTTTTCATGCCGAATCATACATGGCCAAGCTGTTGTCGCCTCGACTATAAAATGGAACGGAGTCAGAAGTAGTACACACGTAATAGTACTACATTCTTACTTCCCGATGGAAGGATAGGTTGACCAATCAAAGAATTGATGAAAGTGCTTTTCCTGCTCTCAAATAATCGTCAGGGAATCGGCAGTATCAAGGTAGTCAACAACTAACCCAGAATTAACGAGTCCTAGTACGGCCACGGTCACCACAGATGCTTCGCTTTGGCACATCCTCGATCGAAGCATCAATTCAAACTGACGTGAACCAGGATGTTCGTTGCGACCAGGTATTTGCCTGATTTGCTCCAGTACAGTACTCCAGAATATTTCCATTAATTCGGCTTGCTTATGGTGCTTGTCGTCTTGTGGGCGCTCGTGTACCCATCGCTGCCCTTCTTGAGAGGAGGCAGCCTTCAGCCAATGAATCCCTACACTGTCATTCAATTTATCCAAATTTAGAGCCCATGCTGGGAGGTTAGATTCATTCAATAGAGGGCCACCGATCCGGAGCGGGTATTTGCGATGGAGGCGATGAAGCCTGTCGATCAATGAAGGTGTTTTGGTTCCCTTTCGACCAGTATTACGTGAATCTATGAATTTTGAAGGGTCTTGTTGTATTGAATGCTTCAGAGATCGAGAAAGCTGAAGGCGAGCATATCGCAATCTACTATAAGCTTGAGAAGCTTCATAGAGGGAGATCGGTCCCGGCAGATTTGCAGAGTATTTAGAGTTCCTGGCGGATTCGAGTAGTTTCTTGTGTATAGCGTGAAGTCGCGTTTGAATAGAACTTCTCTCTTTCACTTCTGGGAGTGATAGGAGAAATGTGAAACAGTCCCGCGAGGTCGACGCTACAAGGAAACACGAATCAGCTAAATTACTCGAAGTGGCTGGTCCCAATGGATTCCATTCAACTTTCCCGTCGACTGTAGGGTGGTGTTGGAGATATTTGAGGAACATATGCACATCCTCAGCAAGGTCAACAAATTCTTGTCCAATAGAATGAAGATCCTGCATCTAAATGATGACAAAAATTTAGTTACGAGTCGCTTGGGGCCTTCTGTCCCTCACCAGTTGATTGCTGTCATCATGGTACTCTTCCATCAAATGCCATCCAACTGGAGCAACTTGAGGGAAAAAGAGGAACGCTTGTTTGCTCATTTTAGACTCCTTTGAGGTGCTCATACGTATATTCCAGGAGTAATGCTCTCGATAGCGAACAGGGGAATGTCGACAAGTCAAGGAGACCTTGACGGCACCGCCCTTGGTAATTTGGGTATTGGTTGACAGCTGGTTGTTAAAGCGCAGTAGGGCCTATCGAATCGATGTAGCGCTAACGTTGCTGGTCAGGAGCAAGGCAAGAAGAGAGTGAGAGACGTACTTCAGAAACAAAGGGAGCCTATTAGGCGGTAATATGAAACGTGCGTGATTTTTATGTGATCTCCTGGGTTCATATAAATTGAAATATCGTATAACCCAGCCCGTACATCCATCGGACCAGCATACTCTCTTTTACTTGGCGGTCAGCATTTGGGCAGGTGACCACAAAGGAGGTATGAGACAATAAATTTTTTATTGAGGTTATGAGAGTTTGACTGTACGGGTGACAGGAGAAAGAGGGCCGCTGGTTGAGACGATAGACTGAAAAGGGAAAGCTGTTTGAAATCAGGCGTGGCGACATTGGAAAGCTGCGCACCTCTCGGCTGGACTGAATTTTTTTAATTCATAAATCTAGTCAGTACCTAGTCCACTTTCTTGGATTGTCTCGGTGTTCTGGGACAACCGAGAGCCCGCGATAGAGTATGAGCGGCCTAGGTCTGTAGTGATAACCTATCCAGCAGAAGTGGCCATTTTTACGCATGAATAAATCCATATATGGAGCTGTACATTATGAAAATTCGTTATATATACACCCCTTGCCAAACTTCGAGCAGTTGTGCTGAGGTACATCCACCCGACCCAAAGAAGTTGTAAATATAGTGCATCCACGATATGGAAACACCTTCTCTCTCTTTCTTGATGCAAGCAGACGTCATCGGACGCCGTTTGATCGAGAAATTAGGAGCTTCATCGACTCGTAACACGCCAGAGGTAATGTCGCAAATCCTCTTCAG